AGTCCCCAAGGAATCCTGAAAACAGACTTTTGAGTCTGTGGGCAGGGAGAGGCACTTTATCAGATCTGATAGGAAAACAACCAGATGGGTCAGCAGGCAGACCTGGAACTATATATAGGCCTTTTTGTTCCTTTTGTTTATCCATATAAGATAAGCAGGATAAATAATCATGAGGAGAAAACAATGAGGCTGACAACTCCTGGGGGACATGGGAGAGGATAATGTAGTGGGAGAAAGGAAGGGGGAGCCAACAAACCTAGGGACAAGGAAACAACAAGAGATCTAAAATCAATGGTGAGGAAGGTGTAGAATGCCTGGTGGAGCTTGGACAAGTGAAATGTAGCCAAGAGAAAGTATTGAGAACCGAATGAAGGTTGAACATGATAGTGGGACAAGAGGAAAGTAAAAAGAAATAGAGGAAAGAACAGGGTGGCAGAAGACATTTATAGAGGTACAGATATAGGCATGCTCATATGTAAACATATAAATATATTAATAGGGATATAGGTCTATGTACTTATATCTAAAGGTGAAGCACTTACATTTATCAGGTGGACATTGGGCCTCCACTCAAGTACTCCCTCAATGCAAGAACATTTTGTTCTAAAAACATGGCATTCTGTGATGTTTAGCTTCCTGGCTCGATTGCTGAAGTCAAAATGGGTGCATAAGCAAATGTGGTAAAGAAAACTGATGGTTCCCAGCTATTAAAAGATATAGGTCTGAGGTATTAGGGGCTTGGGGTTAAACAAGCAGCCATCTAGCAGAGAAGCAACAAGCCCACATGGAAGAAACATACCAGCCTGTGTGATCATGAGGCACCAGCCTGTGGGATCAGGTATCAGGCATTAGAAGACCCCAGACAAACAAATATATTGATGAAAATGATGAAGGTCAGAGAGGAGACCCAAAGCCCATCTGTGCACAACTGGACATTTTCTGACAGAAAGGTCACAAGGAAGGAACAAGTCAGCCAGGACGCAGCAAAGCACCGAGGGAACAAACAACAATCCTATAGTTGTTTAATGCTTCCTACCCCTTCCCTCCACTATCATGACCCCAGTTCTATCTTATAAATTCGGCTAGACCAGAACATGTACACTGGTACAGATAAGAGCTCCAGACACATGGAATCCAGGACAGCTAACCCCCTCAGGAACAGCAATGGGAGTAGCAATACCATAAGGGTAGGTGGAAGGTGGGGGGAGAAAGGGGAGAAATGGGGAACCGACCACAAGGGTCAATGAATAACATCCTCCCCCCAGTGGGACGAACAACAGAAACATGCGTGAAGGGAGACACCGGACAGTGTAAGATATGAAAATAATAATAACTTATGATTTAGCAGGGGTCCATGATGTTGAGAGGGTGAGGGAGGGAGGGAAAAAAGAAGAGCTGATACCAAGGGCTCAAGCAGAAAGAAAATGTTTCGAAAAAGATGATGGCAACATATGTACAAATGTCTTTGATACAATTGCTGTATAGATTGTTATAAGAACTGTGAGAGCCTCCAAAAATGATTTATTAGTTTTTAAAAAAAGAAATAAAAATTGACTTGGGATTCACATTTTTAGTGTTAGGAATAACAAGCAGCTCTGCACTGGATCACATGACGTAGAAAACTTCACTCAAGTCATCTTAAGCATTGCTATTTGGAACAGCTGTACCAAAGGGAATGGTCCTTATGCAACTACTGATTTACTTATTTGGCTAATTTATTGACAGGAAGAGCGTTTTCTGAGAGTTAGTTTGTGGCTCACTTAAATTGACCAGTTTTCCCCCAATGCATTCTATAGAAAGCATATTCTACTCTTTGAGATAAAAGAGAGACAGACTGACACTGACTGGTGGTACGTAACCTGTAGGAATCAAAATCTTGTCAGTCGGTCTGAAGACTCACCTGTAACATTTGGTACAGCTTTGGAGAGGTTGTTTACCTTCTTAGGAGCTCTGGTTCCACATTTGACTGTTAACAGCAAGCTCACATGTTCAAACGTACCTCCAGCTTATCAAGGCTGTCTACTCCTGTAGACATCTACTGTCTAGAAAACCCATGGAGCAGTGCTACCTTGTCCTACTTGGTCACGCTGAGTCCAAATTGACTCAATGCCAGGAATTTCCTCCCTTACAGGAACAAACTATTTTTAAAACTTGGAGCTGCTTCATGAAATCATACCTCAGTCTTACTATCTTAGACAGGGTTCTCTACAGAAACAAAACCAGGACACCAATGATTCTATATATAGCTAGATAGATAGATAGATAACATAAGAAATGGACAGTTAATCTATAAAACAGGACAAATGGCTCATTGCAACTCACTTCCATGAGACAGCTAATACACTGGCAGTCCTTCAAGTCTTGAGGACCGGTGGATAGTCCTCTGTAGATCAATTCAGGCTATCCAGCCACAGGCAGCAAACAGCAAGGGAGGTCACCAGTAATCAGTCAGATGGCAGGGTCCGACAGTCCCCAGCTCAAGAGATGTACACTCCAGTAGCGTGGTAAAGCAGGTCTTGAAGGAGCCTCAAACTATAGTGACACAGTCCATGTGTTGGGTGTCCCACAGGTAGTGTAGCTTACAAATTGAGGCACAGAACAAGCTAAGGCAGCCACACAATGGTCTGATCATCAAACAGCAAGAGACAAGAAAGCTGAGACCCGCTGAGCCATTTATCTCTCCACCCTTTAATTAATCCCACATGCGTTCATTGGTCATGTTGGCACAATCAAACTACCTACCACAATTAGGAAAGAAACTTTTTGAATCATGTCTCAGGTATTTTTCTAAACTGTTGCTAGAAGAGAGGTGTTAGAATCAGAAAAATATTTTAGATAAACATAACAGGTTAAACCAAACACACAGGAGATGGAAATACCTTGACTCAAAAGTCAAAAAGGAAGACCTTTGACAAGAGGTATTGCCATTTGGACTGCATCAATGGACTTACAAATAGAGGCTAAGGGTGGTGCAGGTCAGGCTGTGTTTTTTTCTGTTGTATATAGGGTTGTTATGGACTGAAACTGATTTACTGGACACTAACCACAATATCATCAATACTTACTGTGTCTGGACACTACAAGAATATAATTCGCAAATTATAAATCAATCAGGAATGGAGGAACAAGATTGAGAGGACACTGCATGGCCATTGGTGCACAGAGTACTCATATATTCAGTGATAACAGTCCTGATGCAGTCAGTATTCATTCATCCCTCTCAGCCTAGATATCATTAGTCCCTTTTGCCACTCACTCCTCATTTAATTGACAGTTCTTGGGGAACTGATTGTGAACATATTTATTCCATTAGGAATACCTCTTGTTGAGAGAGAGAGAGTGCAATGATCAACAATAAGTTATGTTATAATTTATCAAGGGCTCACATGGGGGGGGGGGCGGAGTTGATTGCAAGGACTCAAGTAGAAAGAAAATGCTTTGAAAATGATGACAATGTATGTACCAATGTGATTGATACAATTGATGTTTGGATTGTTATAAGAGCTGTAAAAGCCCAATAAAATGACTAAAAAAGAAAGGTAAGTACAGCATATTTAAGCTTAATGAAATGTGATCACTCTACGGTTTCTGAGTTTTCTAATATTGAGCACAAATCAATAGTGTTCCATACTCCATGTCTTAATAACTTATTAAATTACTATTATCCTACATATTGCTAGTCAAGTAACATTATTGTACATATACTATAATTGTACACTTAAATGTATAATCAGTATAATTTAACCTCTCTATAATGATATAATTCAACAATGAACCTGGCTCTTTAAGTGCATGGTAATCACTGATATATTTATTTTATGGGTTATAAATTCTCACCTGTGGGATGTTTAGCAGGCAGGTTTAATAACAGCTATACTAATGAGACAGGATGCAGGTCGGTTGTGTTTTGTGTCGTTCTTTTAGGTGTTATATGAATGGGTTAAACAAGCTACCAGAGATCAGACAGCCTTTCTACCACCAAGAAATAATTAAGCACTTGAGATCCCTAGATTCAGGGGAAGATGGATGAAAAGGGCCTTTCCCCAGTGCGGACTGCAAGAGAAAGCTATCTCTTGTAGCTGGTACCCTGAATTGAGATGCCTAGCCTCCTGAAAATTGTGAAAGTATAAATTTGTCCATGAAAACTTTCAAACTGCGGTATTCCTGTTGTTCCAACACAAGATAACTAAAAGGCATACCTTCAGGTAACACAGGAAAGCTTGGTCAACCCAGACGTTTGGTGGCAGTGAGAAAAAGTGTGCCTTCCTGATTAGAAGGATTATTTTAAAATGTGAAATGATATTTATGTAGACTTAGGCTCATCCTTCCTTCCTCCTTCCCTTCCTTCTTGCAAAGGTGCCATAACTTTGCTATAGCAAGGGTGATGTTATTTAATCACAATTTCTTAATGAATAGTAGGGCTTAGTAGATAGACATTGAAGAAATCAGAAAATGTAGACATTGAATGAAATGATTCCAACACTTTAAAACTGTGCTATCTCAACATTTTATGCACTAGGAAGGTATCAGATAACTAGGTGTCCCTGCTAACATTCTATGCACCAATCACAGAAGAATAGAAAAACTAGTCTCTATTCCCTATTCCTCTTTCATCATGGATGGCATATAGAGGATTTCGTATATCAACGCCTAAGCAATGTTGATTTGGGAGTCTCTCTACTATTCTCAGGATGAAAGGAGACATTATGGCGAAAATCATAAGTCAGAAGCAATTAGCTCTCCCTTTAAAAAGACACCGGCTATTGCTACTTGGACTTCATTAATGTGGAGGAGAGCTCTACAACGATTGCAATGCCTGAAATCAAGAAGTTGAAGGAGCGTATGAAAAAGTGACAATTTAACAGCAGAAAGTCCACAGCCAGTAGTTTCTTAGTATCTCCTAATAATGATGTAGGAAAATGGTTAGGTAAAGTAGATTGACATTGAAGTGAATGAATATTTATTGCTCTGAATTGAAGGTGTATTACATTTTTTTTTCCACAGTGTCGGCCAGCAGGGCAACTGCCCCTCTGAAGGTGGCAGAGGGGCATTCTCTGCCCTTGTGACCCTTCACTTTCGGAGGCCTTAACCAGTGACGGCAGCATGGTACAGAGCTGCCTCACCTTCTCAGTCCTCCACGTATTACATTCTTTATGTAGAAGTGGCTACACTGGACTTGAAAGTAATTTTAAGCACTACTAATGGGTAGTAGAGATCAAGAAAAAGACATATACATTCTATAGTTCTATTATCTTTAATGATGCTACAAGTTATTTCTGGTGATTTTGATATTTTTCACCTGTTATTCAAAAGTATTTTGAAACATTAATTATCTAGATATACTAATATTATTTCATTTAAATGGAATGCTGTTTTCATCTACTCAAGCACTTGGTTTTGGAGTTATTTCATTTCTATGAAATATAGTCAGTAGTATTTAAGCTTTTGTTGAGTACAAGCCATGAAAAATTACACTATAACACACTGACTTTGACTTCTGATTATAAAAATAATGAATAAGGTGGTTGGTGGTCATTGTAAGAGATTTAAGGGTTATAATTTGATTGCTGAATGATTCAATGACTTAGCTCAAATTAATGAAAATTATATTCAATTGCTTTTAAGAAAAGAGATACTGCATTTGTGATCTTGAACATAAGCGATGATGGGAAAAGATGCTGACAGGCTTTCAAAGAACAACACAACTATTGAGAAAATTCTCTCACCAGCTTTCTTGGATCTTGTTAAAATCTTTACTATTGTACAGATGGTAGTTTTGACCATGTAGAAAGTTGATCATCGTAATGCTGCAGTTGGAAAATAGTTTAAATAGATCTTACTAATTATTTGTCTGACATTGAGTTTCAATTCTTTATTCACAAATTAGAATCCTTGATGCTAACAAAAACCATTATATATAGGCTTCAGAAATTGATGTGCTAGAATGCCATTTGAGGAATATATTCTCAATGATTTACTTAGACGAAACCAGGTTGAAAACAGATGCTGAGGTTCAATGATGAACAAGCTTAAAGGCAACATTAACTCTAATAGACTCTATAGATTTTGTCTTAAGAAAATATGTTTGGCTTCTTTCTTAAAAAGGAATGCCAGATCATATTGCTCACAAAGCAAACAAGAGGTATTCTTAATGGAATATGTATGTTCAGAAACAGTTCAGAACTGTCAATTAAGTGAGGAGTGGCAAGAGGGCCCAACAATCTCGAGGATGAGAGGGATGAATGAATACGGACGGCGTCGGTACTAAGGGATCAGTGAATGGATGCCGTGTCTTCTCAATCTTGTTCCTTCATTCCTGATTGATTCATAATTTGTTCATTGTATTCATGTAGTATCTAGACACAGTAAGTATTGGTGATATTGTTGTTTTTAGGTGCCATGGAGTCAATCCCCATTCATGGCGACCCTACACACAACAGAATGAAACACAGCTAGCACCTACACCATTCTCGCAATTGTTCTGTTTTTGAGCCCCATGATGCAGTCCAATGCTAATAATCTTCTTTAAGGTCTTCCTTTTCAGGCTGCCTCATCATTTTACCGAGCAGGATGCCCTTCTAGTTACTGTTCTCTCCTAACAACATGCTCCAAGTACATCAGCCTAAGTCTCACCATCTTTGCCTCTAAGAAGCATTTTGGCTGTACTTCCCCCAAGACACATTTGTTTGTTCTTTTGGCAGTCCATAATATTTTCTTTTTTTTAAATTGTTTTATTAGGGGCTCATACGACTCTTATCACAATCCATACACACATCAGTTGTGTCAAGCACATTTGTACATTCATTGCCCTCGTCATTCTCAAGACATACTATTTTCAACATTCTTTGCCAGCACCATAATTCAAATGTACCAGTTTCTCTGCAGTCTTCCTTATTTAATGTCCAACGTTCACATGCACATGTGTTGATAGAAAATACCATGGCATGGTGAAATTGGGAAGCTTCAATAATATCTGACGTGTTTTGGATGGGGCAGCTCAGGTAATTTTATAGAACCTTTTCCAGTATCGTTATTCTTAGTCTAGGTCCTCTAGGAAATGCAGACTGAAGTAGAGATTAAAGTACTGTCAAGTATTTGATAAGTGCAACTACTGAACACTGAAGAGAGAACACGTTCTCAGAACATGTTCAGAATGGTTGCAAGGTGCTTCTGTAGTTAGTTGAAATCAATTTATTTCATATTCATCGAAACCTTATGTGTACATGAGAATTGTGCCTGTTTCTGCATTGTCTTCAATCCTTATGTTGAACAATATTCTCTGGTGATCCATAGGGCTTCCATTTGCTGATTCTGCATGTTGATCACTAGGTCTGACCTTCTTGTCTGTCTCAGTATGCAAGCTTCATTCGAAGTTGTCTTCCAAGTGTGATTTTAAATATCAGTGATACAACCTCTAGCACATTTATGCAGCACTGTCAGTATGCTTCATGTTTCTATGTTTAATCAGATCCTATAACCCATGTTCCACTACTTGGCTGTCAGTTTGTCTACTGTGGTGACGTGTATATTGCTGTGATATGAGAAGCCTTTCCACCAGTATTTAAAATGCACACAAGGTCACCCCAAATGGACAAGTTTCAGCAGACCTTCCCGACCCATAGACAAAAAAGGAGGACTAGGCTTCTGAGGAATTAGCCCTGGAAAATCTTATGGACAGAAGTGAAACATTGTCAGATACTGAAAGCCTCATGAAAAGAAGCAGAACATTGTCAGACAGTGCCAGAAGATGAGCCTTTCAGGTCAGAAGCCACTCAGAAAATGGCCAAGGAAACCTTGTCTTCTCCATGACATGGATTGCATGAAGTCTGTGGAAGGAACACTTTCAGGACCTTTATTTGCTGATGCGGCACAACTCAAAACTAGAAGACAGAACTGGACAACTCAAAACTAGAAGACAGAACTGGGAACCTCCAATAGGAATCATAATGTGGAATGTTCAAAGTCTGAAGCTGGGAAAGCTGGACGCTGTCAAAATCAAATAGAACTCACAAAGATCAACATTCTAGGAATTTGTAAGCTGAAATAGACTGGTACTGGCCATTTTGAATCAGAAAAATCTGTGGTTTACGACTCTGAGAATGAAACATCTCAGAGGCAAGCACTGAAACAAATAAGAGGGATGGCATTGCATTCATTGTCAAAAAGGACACTTGAAGCTTTATCTTAAAGCACAATACTAAGACCAGATTATATCTATTTGTATTTAAGGAAGCGTGATGAATAAAACTATTATTCAAATGTATGTATCAACCCTAAAAGGTAGTTATTAAGAAATTGAAGAATTCTACCAACAATGTCAGCCTGCAATTGATAAAATATTCAATCAAGTTGTATTGATAGTTCTTGGTGATTGGCATGTAAAAATTGGAAAGAAAGACAAAGAACAGTAGCTGTGTTAATAAAACTGTGTTAGTCTGGGAAGACTAGAGAAACAAATTCATGAACATGCATATGTATATAAGAAAGAGTTTTATATAAAGGGCAATTGTACATTAAGAAAACATCCCAATCCAGTCCAGTCCAAGGTCATAAGTCTGATATTAGCCCATATGTCTGACAACAATCTATAAAGTCCTCATCAGACTCATGAAATACAAGCAATGGCCCCGAGTGTAGAAGATCACAGGCCAGTGGGTAGAAAGTCTTTGGTGGTAGAAGTATCTCAGGGCTGGCAGGGGTCTCCACATGACCATTCCAGTTCCCAGGGTTGCATCGGGGTAGGTCCATGTGGCATCTCCTCAGGGATGCCTTGCAGGAAATCAGCCTTGTCAGTAGAGAGTCTCCAAGGGAGTGAGCTGAGATAGGTGTCTTCCGTCTCCAAGGAGAAAGTACCAGAGTTCTCAGAATTCTCAGGAGAAGACCACGCCTACACAGAAGTCTCACTGGCTGACAGCCTAGACTCCACCCTGACACTCTTAATCCTTAAATTGACACCAGATTTGGTGACTACCACAAAAGCCTTCTAAGAGAAACAAAGCCAGAGATTACAAGATAGAATCCTGCAAGACCAACGACTTGTTTATTATAAATACCTTTTTCAACAACACAAACACACTATATATATGTGGAGCTTTCTAGACGGAATACACAGAAATCAAATTGATTACATCTGTGGGAAGAGTTAGTGGAGACATTCAATATTATCAGCTAAACCCAGGTCAGGGACTGACTGTGGCACAGACCATCGATTGCTCATACGTAAGTTCAGATTGAAAATTAAGCAAATGAAAACAATTTGAGAGCCAAAGTATGACCTTGAGTCGATTCCACCTGAATCTCAAGAACACTCAAGAACAAATGTGACTCCCTAAACACTGACTGCAAATATGGCGACCTGAGAGAGGATGTGAAGAACATCATTTGTGAAGAAAGCGAAGGACTTTAAGAAGATAGGAAAGAAAGTCAAAGTCAAAGTGAATATCAGAAGAGCCTCTGCCACTTGCTGTTAATTGTAGAATAGTTAAGGCAGCTGGAAGAAGCGAAGTCAAAGAGCTGAACAGAAATTGCAAAGGTAAGCTCTAGAAGACAAAGTGAAATATGATCATGAAATGTGCAAGAGCTAGAGCTAGAACCCAAAAGGAAGACACAGCTTATCTGAAACGGAAAGATCTCAGTAAAGAAGTCAGGTTGTAAGTGGAAGTTTTGCACTATTACATGGGAAAAATATTGAATGATGCAGGATACATCCAAAAAAGGTGGAAACTGCACTGTACCAAAATGAAATAGTCCACATCTGACCACTTCATGAGGCAGCATATGAATAAGAACAAACAGTCCTGAAGGGAGAAGTTCAAGCTGTAAAGAAAGCAGTAGGCAGACAAACACAGTCTTGCTACATCAATCCCCTATGTGCTGTACTACGATATGTATTATTCTGGCAAACCTGTGACCAACTGACTTTGTGCTATGTGTTTTTCTGGTTTTGTTATTGATGAACCTTTAGGGGATTAATGAACCTATAGGGAAAGTAAGTGGAATAAGTGTTTCTGGAGGGGATGCATTGGTAGTGGGAGGAGAGTGGATGGGTTAAAGGAAGACAATGTCAAGGACTCTGGGAAGGAAAAGAATGGAAACTGATTATAGTAGCAATTGTACATTACTGCTTGATGTGATTGTA